GGGCCTGAAATTCAGGGGTTTCATAGGCTTCTGTATAGAATACTAGTACAGTGGTGCCTCGCAAGACGGGTGCTCCGTTTAACGACGAATCTGCATTACGATGAGGTTTTTGTGATTGCAAAAGTGATCCCAAAACGATGTTCTGAATGGGGGAATTTCGCTGCGCGATGATCGGTTCCGTGTTTCGGGAACCGATTTTCACTTCCTGACAATCAAAACAGCTGATCGTCGGGTTTTCAAAATGGGCACCGGGTGCTCAAAATGGCTCCCCACTGTGTTTAGGAGCCATTTTTCTATGCACAGGCACCCGAAAATGGCTGCCCCTATGGAGGATCTTCGCTGGACGGTGAGTTCTTAGCCAAATAGAACACATTAACCAGGTTTTAATGCATTTCAATGGCTTTTTTATTTTCACTTTACGACGTTTTTGTTCTACAGCGATTTTGCTGGAACGAATTAACATCGTAATGCGGGGCACCACTGTATTAATATAGATTAGTATAGATAGAGTAATCTTAGTATCTCTCCAGGCATTCAGTCTAGTACTCATCTGCAGAGATGCATGTCTTTTAACAGAACAGACATGGGTATGAGAAGTAACAGACCAAATCAGGTCTATTTCTAACTCTGACTGCAGTTTTAACCCTGGAGTCTCTCACGCCATCCCCCAATATGATATAATGCTGGAAGCCCCATTAACATATCCAGAACTGTTTTCAATAATTTCTTTGGGTAACATTGATTCCTTTAGGGTGGCAACACTAGCTACTGGCCCTCTGCAACTTCGTTTACAAATAAATTTTATCTCAAAACATGTACAAGTTAAATGTTTAACTAAATTTTCAAAAAATCCACATGCTTGTAAAATAGTGTGTATTTACCAATGAAAAACAAAAATCCATCACACAATGTTGTTTTACTTAAATAGTTTCAATGTCTATGCGTACAGTAGTTAATCGTTACAATAGAGTAAGAAAGTCCTCTGAGTTGCCAAAATTAAGCTATTTAATTGTGCACCTTCCCAGGCCATTACAATTATCTGTTTCAACGGACTTGGCCACTAAGCAGATTTAAAAAAAACACAACAACAACAACAACAAAAACAGAACTGCAAAAGTAATTAGAATGTTCCTAAATCATTTTTTAAAATGTTTTGAGCCACCTTGGGTCACCTATAAGGAAAAAGCTGGCATATGAATAAAATAAAATAAAGTAAGATTTTAAATCATAATTTTATTCACAGGTTTAAATCACATCCACCCTGCAGGAGTCACAATGGGCAGAAATAGGTTTCTGGGCACATCATACTTTCAAAGCATAAGTCTGATCCATATGACAGGACAGAAAATGAGTAATCTGAACTATATTGTTGTACCCTGACAATAACCCACGGCATGGAAAACGCAAGCTGAAACTACTCAGAAAGAGAAACTCAACTTTTTTAAAGAACTGAAAGTACTTCTTTAAAAATGCAAAAATCAATCTGTGTGGTGTATGGGATTCCCAGGACACCATTCCTCATTCAAGTTCCCACACCTCCTACCACATAAAGTTAGAATAACTAGAAAATGGAGAGAGAAATGAAAAAAATTATGATCTGAATTCAAACAACAAAAATTGTACAAGGATAAAGTATGAGGCGTATATTTAGCCAAAGACCATCACAATAAAAGACATAAACTAATGGGAACTGGAGGAATATATGGGCAACAATTTTAGACTGGATGATGCAGTAAACAATGTGTACTAGGCTCTCAATTAGCTGGCACCATAGAGCAGAAAACAATCGATATTCTTCAGGAAATAAACGGATGAAAGAAGGATCTTTTACCAAAAGTGCAAGCATAAATCAGCTGCTGGAATTAATTAAAGATATGATTCAGCAACAACAACAAAATAATTAAAACATCCATTCATTGTATGATAACTAAGCATGTCAGTGAAGTACAAACTACTCCAGAGACAAACAAGCGAATCTTCAATGACAATACTTCAAAAAAGTCCACCCTTCGCCATCTGTTCTACAGAAAGTATAAAGAGATCTACAGGAGCTCATCACTGATAACAGAACGGAAAACAAACACAAGCAAATATTTTTTGAAAGAACTGTATTTTTTACTACAGTACATTTGAAGATTGAGTTAATAATGAGCCATGTTTTCTCCAATTTCCCATCACTCAAACCAAAATAATTTTAAAATTCATTGAAACAAGTCATGTAAAACTGCACAACAGGAGTGGAGTCAGGACAAATCAGAAGAATGAGGAGGCCCAACGGCCTTAAATTGGCAATTGCATTCTCAGTTCATTTCTGTGCTAAACTGTCTTCTAGAAAAGGACAAAAACTTCTCCAGTCTCCGCAGTCAATGAAGACAGCTTGTTTCACCTAGGCTTGGGGCACCAGAATAATATAGAAAAGCTGTAATGATTCCTACCAGACCTTCTACCAAGGAGTGTGCAGACACTTCAGGACACCCTTTCACAAAGCTAGAGATTTATTCTACACTATCAACAGCATCTTCAAGAAACATAATGATATTACAAATTCTCTGGAGGCTGGCACTCATAACATAGGAGGAGTTGGGTATCCTGCTCTGTAGTACAGATAGTACTAGCTGCAAATACACTACTCAAACTACCCTGTTTTCCCAAAAAGAAGACCTAACCTGAACATAAGCCCTAGTATGATTTTTCAGGATGTTCATAATACAGTGGTGCCTCGCACAGCAAGGTTAATCCGTCCCAGATTAACCCTCGCTGTGTGAAACATCGCTGAGTGGTAAGAAAAAACCCATTGGAACACATTAAACATGGTTTAATGCGTTCCAATTGGGCCGAATACTCACCGTTCAGCGATGCTTCCCTATGGCCGGCAGCCATTTTCGCACCCTCCCCTCGCTGAACAAGGGTGCGAAAATGGCTGCGATCAGCTGTCCGGCGGGTCCAAAATGGCCGCTGGAACAGCCGAAATGGCCGGCCGCAGTGTTTTCGCGCCCTTGGTAAGCGAGGGAAGGGTGCGAAAACGCTGCACGCAGCCATTTCGGATGTTCTGGCAGCGTTTTCGCGCCCTCCCCTTGCTTACCAAGGGCATGAAAATGCTGCACCTGGCCATTTCGGCTGTTCCGGTGGCCATTTTGAAGCCGCGGAACAGCTGATCAGCGGGTCGCAAAGCGAAGGTCGGTAAGCGAACCGCTTACCGACCTTCGCTCTGCGATTTTCGCCCATTGGGGGCATCGCTCTGCAATCGCAAAAGCGTCACCGCAGAGCGAATTCATCGCTCTACGGGGCGCTCGTTCTGCGAGGCACCACTGTATAAGCCCTACCACAAAAATAAGCCCCAGTTACCAGTAAGTGAAACTCTGCCCTCCACCATTGTGCAGCAACCAGAAGAAGATGACACTATTAGAATAAATGTAGATTGTTGTACATGAAAAAACCAAATATCTCCTGAAAATAAGCCGTAATGCATTTTTGGAGCAAAAAATAATATAAGACCTTTCTTATTTTCGGGGAAACACAGTAGTTCACAAGTCTGTACTGTACATGGTTTGCTATGCAAACAGTAGTTTATTACATCAGCTGCTTAAATTTTGTAACGTTGTTTCCTTTTGGCCATACCTGACATAACAATGAGCAGGCAGGGAGGATAATAAATACATCAGAAGAAAAACTTCTCATGGATGCTTATCTGGAGGTTAGAAAAACTGGGGTATTTATTGCATATGATGAGCAGGTGGTACTAGCTGAGAAACTGAGTTTTTATGTAGCACATGAACTCACTCTATGTGAGCTGAGGAGTAAAAATCAATTGCCAAACTCATTAGCCATCTCCTCAGACAAGCTGTTGGTTTCATACACTAGGAAAACTTGGTCTGCAAAGAAAGATTCATAGTGTGCCATGATAATCTTTCAAAAAATATGTATCTGAAAATGAAGCAAAATTATTTCATCTTATTTCAATTCAAGGGTTCTGTTTTGTACTGACAAAATACAAGCAAAACACATTCCTGGTGATAATAGGAATGTATTAAGCCCATTCCGAACACTAGAATGTTGATGCAATTCTCTCACAGCAACCAATACTATTTAAAAAAAAAGACTCTTGATGTTTGCATATTTGTGACATCTACAAACACTCGCAGTTGGTATCTCTAACAATATGCAGATTTAACCCCAAACTAACTGCTTTAAAATTAAGTCCACCAACTGATGCACAGAACCAATGTTTGGAAAGTGATAGTAAAGCCAGGAAAGTGATAGTAAAAACTTCAAGAACAATTTTATTGAAAAGAGGAAAGTTTAAACAAGTTAGGTCTAATTGGCTTTAAGACGTTTACATTCCAGGCATTATTTTATGTTCAAATTAGGAGAGCAAACTAGAAGTAGGTGCACAGATTTTTGGAGACTGTTTAGTGCCATCTATTCATCAGATTTATATAGGCTTACAGATGGCAAAAGTCTTTAATGAGGCTTCTATACTAGTTCTGCAGCATCTGCCCTACTTGCAGGCAAATCAAAACAGCATTTGTTTGCGAACGCTCAACCCACTTCCATAAAAACAGACAATTTAAAACAAGCACAGGCTGAAACATTTTTTAAGAGACACTCTGCTTTTCAGCTGCCTGGGAAACTATCTGCATAAAAATGAACCATCAAAACATTTGGAAGGGATGGTTTTCCCCCTTCTTTATTTTATACGCAAGTGTTTTATTCAACCTGAATGCTTGCCATAGGGCAAGGTATACATAAAAATTAAATTGATATAAATTTTGTCATTCCAGAAATAGCAGTATTTGAAAGCGCTAGAAACTGAAACAGTATCAAAGGAAGAAGAATTCAGCATACATGCCTGGCATGGACTGGGAATTACTTTTGTTTGCTTCCATGCAATCCAATAAAAATTCTCAATGTGGGGAACAAAAACAAAAAGGAAAGGAAAGCTTATATGAAACATTTAGATTATCATATATAGCATTGCAACAAATCTTTTTCCAACTTACTGTTACAGATTTCAAAGTCATTCCGTGATAGGTGCCTGTCGTGTCAATCTTGAAACCTTCCGTCTCTGTAGAATAAAAAATTCCATGTCTCTTGTAAGCAATCCTGTATACTAATTTTAGGACAGTCAGTCAGATAACAAACAAAAGATACCAACAAAGTGCCATCTGCTATGAGTCACTTTCAGCTTAAGAAAAACTGTTTGTATAAAAATTAAATTCAAACAACGATAAAACTTCACACACAGAATAATACAGAAGATATAGTATCTCAGTCATTAGACAACCCTTAATTTACAGCATTATATCACATTTCTTTACATAAAACAGTCTTGGAACTCCATGAGTTAACCACCATAGTACATTATTTACAATCATTCAAGTCTGTTTTCACCATTCAATGTAGATCTCTGAATGTAAATAAGAAAAATGAAAAGGACTCCAGGAATTACAATGTGTTGCAATCTACAACAGTTGTTCTTTGTCTTTAGTATCTTCTGTCCCAGTACTGTATTCAGACTATCAAACACACTGGCTGAAATCTAGTAAGAAGTCACAATTGGAGGAGGCCCATTGAATCAATGGGACTTACAGAAGAGCTGACTCACCAAATCCCCACTGAACATATTTTTTAATATTTTTACAATCAGACACAGAATACTTACGCAAGCAGAAATTCCTGTTTGGCAGGAACAAGTTAATAGTTCAAATGGATCCAGACTGTTAGGCATCCTTCAGTCTCAAAAGACTATGGTAACGTGCTCTGTATGGAGGACTTGGAACAGCATCTAGTGTGGCTGAGGAGGCCAATTCGAGAGTGACAATCTCTTCCACACTGAAGACAAATGCAATCCATCCCCTGTCCAGCTCCCTGGTTTTGCTGCTTTTGTGACTTCCTCTTTGCCTCGGCCTGCTGGACAAAGGTCTCTTCAAATTGGGAGAGGCCGTGATGCAACACTTCCCTCCAGGCTGAGATTTCCTGAGACATGGAACTGATTTCCCGTTTGAAAACTTGTGTCAAGAGCTTGGTGTCAGAAATCCTGAGAGAATGCTTACTGAAAGCATGCAGGGTTGGGACAAACACAACTGCTCTGTGCTTTTGTATTGAAGAAATCTTTGGAATACACCTTGCAAAATTGTATTCTAATTCCCTGAAGATACATGGCAAAATGTTCCCCTTTCTAGAGAACTGTCACTACATTACTTTATTTAAAGCATCCTCCCCCCCCTTTTTTACTTCTTCCATAATAGCTGTGAATTCCTCCCCCCCTTTTTTTTTTACTTCTTCCATAATAGCTGTGAATTTTTATTGACCTGTATTTCTCTTTAGTTCATATGACATTTCATATGCCTGGCAATCCTATATCACACATCCTCAGTTCATATCAAAATCACTGACATTTCACATGCCTGGCAATCCTATATCACATCCTCAGTTCATATCAAAATCACTGATTTTTGCACTTGAAAGGCCTCTTTCGAGGATCATTATTTCAGCCCCTGCAACCTGGATTCTTTCAAATAAAAAAGTGGGTGGGGACAACCATTATTTTTCAAGATAAGCAAGATGAGTGTTTTTTTAAGATGCACTGTTTTAAATCTACGGATACTTAGGATCACAGATTTCTCAACAGAGAGTGATAGTATAAAACACTTCTACTTTTTTAAAAGCCTAACTAAAAACATTTTGCCCAAAGTTCTCCAAATTTGGCACAGAAAAAGAACAGACCTGTGCCAAATTTGGCACTGATCCATGTGAGGATATGGGTTTTGTAGTACTCATTTCCCAGGATTTACACGTGTTCATTGTGCCTGGAGAGTTTCCTGTGAAGGTGAGCCAAGGTTGTTTCTCAGGACTGATAACCAAAACATTCCTTGCTAATGGTGTACCATCGTACCAGTCTGGGATGAGAGAAGGAGCTGTGGAAAGTTACAAGTTGGGTTTGGAGTTGCGGACAAAGGACTGTGTGCTGACTGGATACCATCATGGGACAGAGACTTTAAGTTATGGAAAAGGGGGGGTTAAGGATGTTGGTGTGTGAGCGTAAGCTGGAGAAGGAGAAGATGGAGCTGGAGCACAGGTTTACAGCCTTTGATGATGGATTGGAGACTTAGCTATGGCAACTTAGAATAGCCTGCATTTAAGTAATAAAGCCGTTAGCTAGTAATTATTTTATTGTTTTATGGGAAAGGCTTGCAGAAGCTTACTTAATACCTAGATGCTTTGCATTTAACAAGTACAATTGTAACTTTTTATATTTTCTTTCTTTTAAAACTTTTTCCTCCTTTTAAATAAATATTCTATATTTTTCCCCAGTGTGATTCTTGGGGGCAAGGGTGAGAGTGCCTAAGCGAAGTGCCTTGGCCACAAGGGCTTAATTTGGTATTTTTGGTTATTTGTGTGTCCTACCTGGTAAGGCTGGTGTGCAAGGACCAAAGTACACAGCTAAAAGTTTTCAGCTCAAATAAGTGAGTAATTGGAAATCTAGGGTCAGATGCTTGCCCATAGTTGCCCACACATGCACCTACTAGATCTCACCCAGTCTAGGTTGCAAAAGTGGTGGATGCTGGGAACTACAGTCTGGCTCCTTCCCCTAGTGGAATGCCTTCTCCAAGGAGACATATTCCTGACAATCTGTGATGAGATGGGTTTTTGAGTTAAAGTCTTTTAAGGAATATGGGTTTTGTAATTAAGAAATGAGCCAGAGAGGTTCCATCTTGTTTCTTTGTATAAAGTATCTTTGCTATGCTGACAGGTTGTTTTCTTAGCGAACGGAGAGAATGTTATTCTGATAGCCTGAGAAAAGGACTCGGTGTGATTAGATGGGAATTGTTGTGACTCTTTGCGAAACCACAGTAAACCCAAATAACATCTGGTGTGTATGGGAAAGAAGTCATGTGGTGCAACAGGACTGTTTGCCTAGTAACGAACTCTGATTGGATGACATCGTGGGAAGGTGCGATAAGCCCTTGCCAGTTACTCTTGAAAAAGGAACTTTTTGCCTATGGACATTGTCATTCAAGACCGACTCTTCATTCATTCGCGACACATGGGACTAACCTTTACTATACTGGATTATCCTTGGACTTATGGGCTTTTTCCTAAGGACTAAGCATGGACTATTTCCTATGGACTGTTACCTATGGAATATCCTTTATGGACTTCTTTTCTTGAAATGCTTCATATGGACTATACTCTTGGACTTTTCTAAGGACAATGGGACTTTTACTG